CAACTTACCATGAAGTGCGGGTTACCCAACTCAAAAAAGAGGTGAAACATACTGAAGATTTGATGAAGAATCATAAAGAGGACTGTGCAAAATATGGGTGTTCCGTAATGACTGATGGCTGGACTGATAAGAGAGGGAGGACATTGATTAACTTTTTGGTGAATTGTCCAAGAAGAACCATGTTTGTTGTGTCAGTTGATTCTTCTAGCTATTCAAAGGGTAGACAGAAGCTATTTGAATTGCTAGACAAGTTTGTGGAGAAAGTTGGAAAAGAGAATGTGGTGCATGTTATCACTGATAGTGTTGCAGCTAATGTGTTGGCGGGTAAGAATCTTTCCGCCTTCCTTACTTAAAAATTGTTTACTCATAGTTTGTTTTGTAGGTAAAATTTAAAAACTTGAAAATAATAATTCTTTGTTACATTTAGGGAGGTTTTTGGAAGCCAAGTATGAACCTTTGTATTGGACACCATGTGTTGCTTATTGCTTGGACTTAATGTTAGAAGACATTTTCAAGATACCCTGACTGAGAAAGACATTTGAAAGGGCTATTGCAGTACATGGCTAGATTTATAACCGCCCTACTTTGCTAAACATGATGAGGCTCTATACAAATCTCAAGAATTTGATCAAGCCTGCAAAAACTAGATTTGCAACCGCCTTTCTGACTTTGTCTAGGATGCATCAACACAAAAAAACAATATGAGAAAGATGGTCACCTCCGAAGACTGGACCTCAAGCAAATGGGTAAAGGAGCCACAAGGTAAAAGAATGGCACAAACTTTGTTGATACCTTCATTTTGGAATAATGTTGTGTTTGGCCTTAAGGTCTCGGGTCCTTTCGTCAAAGTGTTTAGATTGGTTGATATTGAGAAGAAACCTCCCATGGGATATATTTATGAGGCAATGCATAGGGTAAAAGAATGCATTGCAAGTTTGTTTGATCATAAAGAAGAGAAATATAATGAAATCTTCGGAATCATTGACAAAAGGTGGGATGTCCAATTGCATCGACCTTTACATGCAGTTGCGCACTTTCTTAACCTAGAATTCTTTTATCCAAAAGCGTTAAGAGGTGCAAAAAGATCATTAAGTGATGAATGAGCTTTATGAATGCATGCAAAGGTTGGTTCTAGATGTTGCTGTTCAAGATTTGATTACTAATGAGATAAGTATTTATATGAAGGCTGAGAGTTTTTTTGGCAAGTCTATTGCGATTAGGCAAAGATATACAAGGGCACTATGTAATATATTAGAGACTCATAGAGTCTATTTTTAGTAATACTTTTCAAACTCAATACTTGGTAACAATTATTTCTAACTAGTGATTATTGCAGTTGATTGGTGGGCGTCATATGGTTCTAAAACCCCAAATTTGCAAACTTTTGCCATAAAAGTCCTTAGCCTAACATGTAGTTCATCGGGTTGTGAACGAAATTGGAGTGTATTTGAATATGTGAGTATTTAACATTCTAACTAATTTTTGGTGAATTTAAATCTTTTTTATTCTCATTATATATAATTTAATATCTTTTTAATACTTGCAGCTTCATAGCAAGAAAATAAATAGATTGGAACGTCTCAATAATTTGGTGTTTGTCAAACATAATAGAACATTGAGATCTAGATATGACATGCGCAACACTCTTGATCCCATATCTTTGCGAAATATTGACGAAAGCAATGAGTGGTTGCTTGAGAGGATGGATGCAGAATCAAATGAAGATAATGAGCCATTGTTTGATGATGATGATGATGATGAAGGCTTGACGTGGGCCACTGTTGCTAGAGCTTCTGGAGTAGAAGAAAGTAGTCATGCAAGTAGAGCAACAAGTTCACGCTCAAAGGCATCGAGGATATCTAAATCATCAAGATTAATTCCACTTCAATTAATAGATGAGGAGGAGGCGGGCTCAGATGACACAGAGGAGGAAGATGTTGAGGGATATAAATCAATTGATGTAGAAGAAGATGATGCTTTACTTGCCATCGATGTTGAGGATGATGATTGACTGACCCAACCTAACCTTTCTTATGATATTGATGTTTTGAAATGTTAAGACTTATATTAGTATTTGTTGGATATTTATGTTTTGGATGTTTAGTTTTTATTTATTTATTTGGTTGAATGTGGATTATTTTATCTTTGAAAATTGGAATGCTATGTAATATGCACTTCCATGGCTTTGAGAATTATTCTATTATTTGCCTTGATTACTTTTTATCTTAAAAAAAATTGGCTTAATACTATGAATGATTAGTCTATGTTAATTTATCTATTTTTAACTAGGATTGTGCGCCTTGCTTCAATAAAGCTTGCGCCTCGGCTTGCACCTTGCGCCTAGGCCTCAAGAGACTTTCAGCGTCTTCGTGTGCCTTGAGCCTTTAAAAACATTGATTTTAGTAACACTAACAATGGAAGTAGAGAAGAAGTGAAGATTGAGGACCAAGCACTACCTAAGAGTGAACATTTTCGTTATTTAAGATTGATTATTACAACGGCTAGAGAGATTAGAGTGGATGTGGTCCATAAAATTAAGGCGGGATGGCTTAAGTGGAGGAATGCGTCTGGGGTATTGTGCGATAAACGAGTATCCGCTAGACTAAAAGGAAAGTTTTATAGAACGACTATTAGATTAGCGAGGTTATATGGAACGGAATGTTGGACAACTAAGAAATAATATGTAGATAAGATGAGTATTGCTGAGATGAGGATGCTAAAGTGGATGTGTGGCAAGATTAGAAAAGACAGAATTAGGAATGAGTATATTCGAGAATGGATAGGAGTAGTACCGATAGAAGATAAGTTGAGGGAGAATAGATTGACATGGTTTGGTCACGGAGACCAATATAAGCAGTAGTGAAGAGATGCGATACATTGACGGTAGATGGAAGTGTTACGGGAAGGGACCTTGATTGACGTGTGCTAATGTAGTAAATAGGGATATGAATTTCCTTAATTTGACTAATGATATGGCCTTTGATAGAGTTGAATGGAGAAGAAGGATTCATGTAGTCGACCTCATTTGAAGGGATTAAAGGCTTGGCATGGTTTGGTTTTGGTTTTACTGTATGTGTTGTTTCATTCTTTCTACTTTGTGTAAATTTATTGTTTTTTTTTTTGACCCTTTTCTTATTTATGATCAATAATGTGAGAAACTTGTAGCTTAAATTTGCATTTGATGGGGGTGAATCTTTGGTTACTGAAACACCATAAGTATTTGTTTCTCTCTTCATTTTTTCAGTTACCTTAGCAAGAAAATGGACAATGTGATGAGACACGGGATGGTTTGTTTTCTAGTTGATCTGTCGTCAAATTAATGCAGTGAGACATCAAATTAGCAAGAAATGGATTGTCTGATCATGAGACATGGATTTTTTTTTGACTGGTTTAAATTTTCTTTGCTATGTGTGATTAGATATTTTTTGACTTCTTTGCTATTTGTGATTACTCTCTTTGTTGTTGATTGGTTTACTTATCCATTGATTGTTTTACGGGCAGTTTTGATGGCAGTTATGGTGTGAAAAATACAGAAGTCAGTATTGTGTCTCTTTACTAATAATTGCACTTCTCCATTGAGCAACAAAACTATTCCATGGAATGCCAAAACCATCATTTATGAATGGAACGTTTTTTGCTTGGTGGGATGGTAAAAGTTTGAGATGGAAGACATTTCCAGATCTGGTCGTGGGTATTGTCAATTTCTACTCTTAATGGCTTCTTGAGGTTTGAGCATCTTGATGATGAACCGATATAATTCATATTTTTTTTTGATCAGCTACCCACTCTTTGAAGAAGGCCTTTGATTAATACTCAATATATTATTTGCTTATACCTTTTTTGGGAGATGTCATGCAGTCATGCAGACAATTATTTTTTACTTGCTTGGCTTAACATGTTAGGTTAGGTTTCATGAATAAGCTTGTCTATCTCTATCCATCTAGCACAGGATAAGTGTATAGCACACGATAAGTGTATAAGGATTCTTGTGATTATAATTTATACTCTATCCAATTCCAGGGTTAGAACCTAATTGTTCAAGGGTGCCAAAGATGCCTCCTCTAAATTTCCCTTCACCAAAATCACCGAAGGCAAGATGAGTTTTTATAGTCATTATTTATTTAAAACTTTTATATTATGGTAACTTGTCAACCTAATTCGGTGAATCAGTTCTATAATATTCACTTGATTTTCTTGTTTGTAGCATTTGGAGATATGTCCGTCACTGAAAATTTATTCGGTTATGAACTTATGATTAAAAATGGTATGAGATGGCTTCCATTTACCATTTTCATTCTCAGCAGCCCTTTTGAGGGAATTGGCTTGGCATTTCTTCTTTATCTTGTACTACATGAGTGATTTAAAAATAAACGCATAACAACAGTCAATCAGAATAGACCGGACATAGGTGATATAGTTTATAATGGAGTATACTCGCAACCATTCGTGGACCTTTGACAATTTCAGCAATGTGATTAGAAGTGATATGCTAATTCCTGACCATAGTACTTGGCTGTGTGGGTGATCAGTGAGATATATTACTGTGGTCATAAATTATGAAATTTCGTACCTTAGCAAGCGAGCTGTTGCGACCTTCGTTTTGCAAGCATCGCCAGTCTCCATGCTTAAGGCAACAGGGAGACAAGCTTGGAAGTCCTTTGCTGACTTGGTAGAGTTAGCTTTCAGTTTAGCACATTGCTACCTGAATGTGCTTACTCTACTAGGTTTAAATTTCTTGAGTTTGATAGTGATTAGAAGTGATATGGTAATTCCTGTCTATAGTAACTCTGTGTGGGCGATCAGTGAGTTATATTAGTGTGGTCATATTTTCTGACAGACTTTCTGTTTATATTAGTCCAATTGGGGAATGCATAAGATGATGCTTAGTTTTTGGTTGTAACCGTCTTTGTAGTAGGATTTAGATTTACCTTACTGTTCTACATTTGTGTTTCATCGCTCTTAAATCTTTCTTTCTGAAATTGTGCTGCTTAACATTGTAGATGTTCCTAGTGGTCATGAGTTGCCTGGCTATTTTACTCGTGATGATGAAAGAGCAGCACATCGTGTAATGAGAGATACCGACTCTATTGGGGCATCCTATGATCGTTACTTACGTAGTGCGGTAAATATTATTCATTTGTGTTCTGAGTTGGGTACCAATATTTTTACTTTTTAGATAGTTTGGGTAGATCTAATACTATGGTGCGGTATACCAGCAAATTTCATCATATGGTGGGGGAGATTCTGCTAGACCATTGAGTGGTGGATTAAGTGGTCGACCTGCTGATGATGCACGCATTATTGGTATTGGGGGCTCAGACCCAGCGGTGATAGCAAAAAACCGTCCTTTGGGATTGGGGGATGGTAGGCCTGAACTTCCCCTTCCTCCTGATGCCACCAATACACTATTTGTGGAGGGTTTGCCTGCAAACTGTACACGGAGGGAAGTTTCTCGTATCCTTTACAATGTTCTAGCTTTTCTTCTTTTACTGCTTTACATTTGTAGCTTGTGGTTTTGTTCCTTAAACTTGGGTTGTAGATATCTTTCGCCCTTTTGTAGGCTACAAAGAAGTGAGATTAGTGACTAAGGAATCAAGACATGTAAGTTTTCCTCTTTTTTTTTTTTCAAAAATAAAAAAATAGAAAATTAGTTGTGGATTAAATATAAGGACCTCCCCTTCGGTATCTAATAATTTGTAGGACCTCCCTTATAGTTTTTTAGAAAATTACAATACCCTCCTCCCTTACTTTTATTGATAAAATACATAGACCTCCCCCTTGTTATCCAGCAGTTAGAAGTAGTAACAACGCTTACATACAATTTTGATAATTAAATACGAAAAGTGCCTTATTTTCTTGTGACCAAACAACCCCCACCCAATACTATTCTCACAACCAAGCAATTCACCCCAATATTATCTTCACAACCTAACACCCCTCATCTTTTTCTCTCCTTCACAAGTTGCACCACCAACACCTCCTCTCTTTCTCTTTCCTCAAATGCAACAACACCACCACCTCCTCCGTGCCCTACTACTACGGGAGAATGATAGAACTGACCTCTCTTTCATCAACTGGATCTCATTCTTATACACATATATATGCATATATGTCAATTTTTCTTGGCAAATATACGTACATACATGGTTGTAAAATTGTGAATTTTTTATTAAATAATGAACTGTAAACCGTATCGAATCTAAATCATAAGATTTACTTTTTTTAAGAATAATAACATATAATTTTATATATGTATATACATATAAAAATATACACTGTTTAAAATAAATTAAGGATTCATGGCTCTTTTAACCTGTGTAGTTCAAATTTTCATTTTTGTGCCTATTGTTTCAATTTGAACAATTTTGTTTCTGTACTTTCCGTCTAGTTTTAGTTTCGTCTTTCGTTGGATGTTAAAATTAACTATTTTGTTACACGTGTTAGTCTTCTGTGGTGTATAAGTGGAAAAAAATTGACAGTTATTTGAATAGAATGACCAAATTGAAACTGGACAAACTTCTTCAAATTAAAATAATAGGGACGAATGTGAAATTGGCTCAAACTATGGGGATGAAAAGTGTAATTTACCCATAAAATAAATATCAATATAATTATATTCTATATATGTACATACATTTAGGGGTGATCATTGGTTCAATGGTTAAGACTTGGCCTAATAACCTTAAGGTTATGGTTTCAAGTCTTGGGGCCACCACTTTGTGCATTATGCTAAAAAGGTTAGGTGTGTACTCAATCTTTTCCCTCCCAAACACACATTAATGTGTACTATTTGGGCGTTGTTTTTATTTTTTATTTTTTATATGTACATACATTTAAAACCACATATACAATATAATTAATATATCTTTCTTTTTTCTTCTTCCTTCTTTTCTTTTTTGTTTGTTTGTTTGTGCTGAAAACGATACCATTTCATGCATTATGCAAATAAAACTGAATCATAGCGAATCATAGTGATTCGCCAAGAATCATAGTGAATTGTAAGATTCACTCAGGGTTGGTTTGGGAATAGGCTATTTTAGTAAATTTTTTTACTTTTTGGCTAAAATATGTGGTGAAAAAAATTAGTATGTTTAGGATAATATTTTGGTTTTTTCCAAAAAAACGTGCAGAAAGTAGAGAGAGAAGTGAATGTTTGACTTTTTGTGTGATTCTTTGGCTTTTTAGTTTGTCTAGTAACTTTTTGACTTTTTTGCGTTTTTAGGATGTGTTCCCAAACCAAGCCTCAATCAACAACACAAATAGATTTGTTTTGATTGAAACTTGCATTGAATCGTATGAATCGAATTGTGAATTGCAAGATTTTAACAACTATGCAGACATATATAAGAGAACCCAGAAATCACCCACAGCTGCTTGGTATATATATACGTTTATATGTTAAAACCAAGGGAAATCTATCATCAAACTAATCAACCCAAATTTGCATACAAGTAGTTACATATACCAAGGGAAACTAAAAAGAAAGCCCCGCCTAGTCTGGAAACCTGGGTACGCCATCTGAAATTCTGAATATATAGATTGTACATATATATTTATCACCTCTTTGTACACATGTATATACATGTCTTTATATACAAGGCGTCTCTGGTTCGTTTCCCATCTATTTGAGGACTCACGGGTCATATTGATAACTATGAGAAGAAAGAAGTAGAACTTGAATATACACAGTTTTGATTTGGTGGTAGAGAAGTCCCAAATGTAAGTCATCAAATTTAATATATTTAAATAAAGTCACTCCAAACAAGAAATACATGCTGAATTTTTGAATTAATTTTATTTATATATACATAATATACATATATATATAAGCGCTCCCCCGCTCCCGCTCCTGCCTCCGCCTCCGCTGCGTGCAATTGTGGTCCCAACAAAATAAAAAAAAGACCCAATATTTCAATTGAATGGGAATTTTTTTAGGTTTCTGGAAAGAAAGTGTAGTACTGTTGTACTACAGATTGGTCTTACATGACTTCTTTCTAATTCTTTTGCTTCCACTTCTGCAATTGAAGTCTTATTCGTGGAGCTGGAGTTGAGTTGTTACTTTGAGGGTGGGCCAATGGTGGTGAGTTGGTGGATGAAGAAGAGGTTGGTTGTGTGGTGGTGTCAACAGGTGGGTTGTAGTCTTGTAGAAGGGCAGGGGTGGTGATGTGATGTGTAGAGAAGAAATGGGCAAGAAGAAAGGGATCAATGTCACAAAAAAAATAAAAAAAGTAAAAATAATTTGGTGTGTTTGTTATAAGAACAGAACATTATGTAATTTAATTTGTATTGTTTTGGTCATGGAATGTTGAATTTATAGAGGGTCAAAAGGGCTATTGCATATTTACCGTTAATTTTCGTCATCTGACATCTTTGACAATGGAGGATAGTGTAATTTCAGAAATCACAGGGGAGGTCTCTGTCATTGTCAGAAATCTTAGGGGGAAGTCTGTGTAATTAACCCTTTATTTATTTATTTACAACTTTTCCCTTGCTCTGTAGTTTGCTGATCATTAGTTAGTAGTAGTAGTAGTTTCCTGACTATAATTCTTGCAGTCTGGGGGTGATCCACTGGTACTTTGTTTTGTTGATTTTGTGAGTCCAGCCCATGCTGCCACTGCTATGGACGCGTTGCAAGGTGAGCTTGACTTGTAAATTCCTTTTTACTACAAGTTGTAGTGTCATTTCCTCTTTTTGATTTCTTGAACTTATTATTAGTTTATGTTGCTTCTTCATCTATGTTTGTGTTTTATGGTTCGCTTCTTGCATTGGATGATAGTTTCTTACTTACGGTGAGATCTCATATGTAGCAATTCGCTTCTTCAGTTCAATTTTTATTAAGAATATGGAACATTCCCAAGGGTCCTCTGCATCTTTTCATGTTGCTGTTCCGTGTTCAGGTTCCATGTTGTCTGAGTTTTCATTTGATCATCTAAATGGAAAATGACTAGCTTTCACTGAATTGTGGTGGTGTTGTGTAGAGATGTAGTTCTCATACTGCCAGCATGTCTTCAACAAGTTGTCTTGTCTAGGTAAAGATGTTCATCATGTAGTCTGGTAAACAACTCCTTTAGTTCTTGCTAATACTTGAAGAGTTAGATGTTGCTCTCTGAAGTTTGTTTCCCATATTATCTGCCTCTTCCATCTCTTAATTCTCAAAGTTGGCATGTTCTTTCCCTCAAAAGTAATTCTATTTAGTTTGCTCCAAATCAGTCACAAAATTACCAAAGGAACCAACCGCCTAGCCTTCCTTTTCTTTTTACCCACTGAAACTCCCCCCAGGACCACAGATGCTCCTTAACTTTCTTTTGGATCCCCCACACAACTTCAAACAACATTAAGGGCCAAAATCCACAGCCCCCGCACCACCTGGCAATGATCAGTAAATGATGCACTGTCACCTTATCCTGATTGCACATACAGCACCAATTAATGTGCGATTAGCTATCAACACGAGGGAAAAAAAGGTGATGTTGCATCCCACAAATAGGTGGTTACTTAGGATCACACTTTTTTAAGAAATAATGGTCGAGTTAAATAGGAGTTAGTAATCTGAATAAGTTGACAGACACTGGAACTTTGTTGGGTTAAAAGGATGCCTTTTTTGAGATTTAATTTAATACTTCCAATTGGGAAAAAAAAAAGTTTTATATTTTCTTCCCTGAGTTGTGGTTCCTTTTTGTAAGAAGTGCAAGAGTCTTTTGCTTCAGCCTTTAGGTCAATTGTTTGATTTGAATCCTAGCCTGCTCCATCAGTCTGATGCCCATACAATTGTGTTATGAACTTATGATAACTTTTGGTATGTTCACGCCAATGCTTAGTATTGTTACAAAATTGAGGGCATGCAAATTTTTTATTGTTTGGGACTAATGGGCCTTTGTATATGTATATGTACGTATTTTGATAATTGTTGGTCACAAGGTTTATAACAACAATTATATAGCAATTATACGACATATGCATATAATTGATAGTAATCTCGAGGTAATGGGTTCAAGTCTTGAGACAACCATTCTGTGTACTATGCCAAATATTAGGTGTGTACGTAATCTTCTCTCTCCCAAATACATATTAATGTGTACTAATTGGGCGTTGTTTTTTATGTGTCATGATAGTGTTAATTGTTATATCTATACTATATATAAAGTGAACAAGTCACTTGGTGTCCAAACATTCTTCTTATGCCATGTGTTGTTTATTTCTCTATAAAAAATGAAAATGGTAGAAAGTAAAGTGAAAGAAAGGAAAATTTGTTTTCTTGCATGTATTTGAATAGATGAAACATTTTGTAAGAAAATGATGGGGAAAAAATATAATCACTACATAGGAGTTGTGGAGAGAAACATGGGCAAAAAGAAAAACAATAAACCTTTTCAAGATTTGTGGAAAAAATAATTTTCCTTGTATATTTTGCAAGAAATTGTTAGCCTAATTAATAAGCTAATTTGAGTTGTTGTAGAAACTTTAGTTTCCATTACGATCCTTATTAAGGGAAAACAACCCAGGTAAACCTTAATTAACACTGACAGAGTTCAAATCAACCAATCTTTACACACAAAGGACACTTCCACACAAAATCTGAAAACCCAAATGAATCAATCGGATTTTTGAGCTGCAAAAAAACATCATTTGCCAAAATATATATATATATATATATATTTTTTTTCTTTCATTTTCCTATATTATCTATCAAAACCAAACTAACCTTGAGAGAAAATAAAAAATAAAATATTGAGGTAGTGAAAGGGACTTGAACCTAAGACTATTGGTTTGATAAACAACACTTTTACCACTTGAGCAATAGACCATGCATGTTTTTAATTCAAAATCAAAATTTATATTTTACAGATTTAATAGCACTGTGAGAATACATTGTGAATCTTACAAATTAGGCATGATTGTGGTTGTACATGTTAGAGTCTTATTAGATGAGTGATTGTATTAGAGTCCTTTTTGGTTTAGGAGTTAGGGCTATATAATCTAAGGTCTGGTTGTAATCAAATATACAATTGAATATATTGAAATACAGAAAACTTACATGGTATTAGAGCCACGTCTGAAACCCTAGGTCTGGCCTTGATCATTCAAATCGTTCGGAGTTCTTCGTTCCTGCTTGGTGGGTCTTTCTGGGTCGATCGAAGCCAGCCCTTTGGGTTCTGACAATCGCGACAGCCCTCTTCGAAAGTCTTCTCTGAAATCGCGATAGCCCTCTCTGTCTTCGTCGACATCGCGATTGCTTTCTGGTGCTGGGTCTAAAGTCGCGAGTCTAGTTTGGGCTTTTGGAATCTCTCTCTCTCTCTCTCCCTCTGCCTTGGCTCTCTCTCTTTGGTCTCTGGTCTCGTTGTCTGGTCTTTGCTCTCTCTATCTTTGGTTTTCTATGTTCTGTTTTCAAGTCCACCAGTAATTGACCCCTCTGTATCAAACTTTGGATTATTACAGGTTGAACCTTCAACTTTGTTGGGTGCTATCACTGTGCCCCATCAGTTCCCTTTTCTTTTATTTCTGGTTCATTACAAAGTCGGAAGATAAAATCCAAGCTATTAAATGCAAGCTTACAAGTGACAACTATGTTTATTGGTCTAGTGTTATAAGAATTTTTTTTCTCGGTCGAAAAAAATGAGGATATGTTTCTGGTTCTGTTCCTAGTCCATCGGATTCCAAACAAAAAGGACTCTAAGACAATCATTCATCTAATAGGACTCTAACATGTACAACCACAATCATGCCTAATTTGTAAGATTCACAATGTATTTTCACAAGCACACCTGTTAGTATATATATATATCTAAGAAGTGTCTGATGGAAAGTATTGAAAGTATTGGACACATATCCCATACCCTTGTTCAAGTGTCAAGTGTCTGACAGGAGGATTTGATTTATTTTGAAGAGTCAGTGTACATAGATAAAAAAGAATCGTGCTTGAATAGATGAATAGCTATATCGAATTGTTGTTTGAAAAATCGCAAAATTCTGTGTTGTCCCTGTTTAACGGGTCAACCCGCAACTCGGTTGGCCCCAAAGCTTCAGTTTTGGTTTTTTCTTTTTCTTTTTGGCTGAAATAGGTATCAATTAGGTCTTTACAGACCTTCTGTGTTACATTTAACCCGCCTTTTGTCTTCTCTGTCATTAGTTGATCCCAAAAGTGAAACCCTAGAAACAACAAAGGTTTGTTTTTACTCTCATTACTTTCAGCAGCAGCTTTCAAGAACATCACACGCTCTTTTTTATTCACTGTCGGCAGCAGTATTGAAGGAGTTCACACATTATTTTTGCTGGAAATTTGTGTTAATAATAAGATAGTGGCATATGATAGTGGTGTTGGTGGTAGATAGTGGCATGCATAGAATATGTGATAGTGGTGTTAGTAGTAGATAGTGGTGTTGGTGGTAGATAGTGGCATGTATAGAATATGTGATAGTGGTGTTGGTGGTCTACCGCTTTGGCATTTGGGGCTGTGGGTACTTCACCTACTTTAAGGTGAGGATTGTTGTTACTTTAAGAACTTTTTTATTATTGAGTTGCTCATTTTGAAATGGTTGATAAGAAAATTTTAAAAGGGAAAAGGAAATGGGGTGATGTTCCGTGGGACTACTGTACTCAGAGTTAAATAAATTAATAGGATGCATTTGAGGTGATAATGTGATCATCATTCAAAACAAGATTTTAATTGATTTATAATATATATATATATATTTAATATCTAATTGTATAGATATATATATATTAAGTATTTTAAAAAAATGTGACTGAACCTTTCCGAATCACAATTCAGAGAAACACAATTTCAATTCACGATTTTACAACTATGATGCGTTGTAAATGCTCCATGGATTAAACCACACACTGAGGTGGCGTGGTCTACCACAAACTCTGCAAAATAATTCTGTGGCTTCTTCATGGCAGAAAAAAATAGGGGAAGGTGTAGCTAAACATGTGATGGAGATATTGAGAGCAATATTCTCAGAACAAAAACGGCATGGTGTGTCTTACAAACCTCCTTCAATAGCTAGACCTTTAACTTGGATACTAGCAGCACGTGCATGAATGGGAAATCATTGCCCAACTGTTCATGTTGAATTTTTCACTTCAACTCAAAAGATTAGAGCCACCAAAATTCATGATGACTAATTTGTGAGTTTTTGATTGGGTTATTTATATGGGAAAAGATTAAAAGTTCACTGACTTTCAACTTGTGAAAATCCACTGTTCCTTATTTTTACAGCACTGGGTGAACAAATTTGTCTTCCTATAAAATTTAGTTGTTTTTTACTTTAGTTGGCTTGTTAGATTTGGTGAAAAAAATGATTCATTTCTTTTGAATATAGTTCATACCGGAATGTATCAATCCTATGTTATATGGACTCGGGTACATGTGTGTGGGTGTAGGTGTGTATCTAGGGGTTATACTATACCCATCAAATTTCAAATTTAAGGGAGTGAACTAGACAAAAATGATCACATTTTATATTTTTAATCTATTTCTTGAGATAAAATGATGTTATATCATTACATGTATGTCAAGAAGGCATTTTACTAATTTTATAGCAATTATACAACATAAGCATTTAATGATAGTGTTAATTGTTAAATCTATACTAACAAGTTACTTGGTGTCCAAACATTTTTCTTATGCCACGTGTCATATATTTCTCTAAGGCTCCGTTTGTTTAGAAAGAAACGGATGATAAAAAATGAAAATGGCAGAAAGTAAAGTGAAAGAAAGGAAAAAGAAATGAAGATTTATTTTCTTGCATGCATTTGAATAAGTGAAAAATTTTGTAAGAAAATGATAGGAAAAAAAATATAATCACTACATAACAAGGAGTTGTGAAGAGAAACATAGGCAAAAAAGAAAACAAAATCAATTTTGTCAAGATTTGTGAAAAAAAAATAAATTTCCCTGTATATTTTTGCAAGAAATTGTTTAACTAACAAGCTAATTTGAGTTGTGCAGGAAACTTTAGTTTCCATTACTATCTAGGATTCTCTATCTAAACGAACACATAAAAAATTAATTTTCTTTTTCTTTTACTTTTTTCTTTTTCTTTCACTTTCCTGTATTATCTATCTAACGAAACTGAGCCTAAGAGAATGAAAAATAAAATATTGAGGTAGTGAAAGGGACTTGAATCTATTGGTCTGATAAACAACACTTTTACCACTTGAGCAATAGATCATACATGTTTTTAATTCAAAATCAAAATTTATATTTGACAGATTTAACAGCGCACTTGTCGGGTGGGCACACACCCACTAGTATAATATATAAGTGATGGAAAATATTGGACACATATTCTATTCCCTTGTCCAAGTGTCAAGTGTCTGACACAAGGATTTGATTTATTTTGAAGAGTCCATCTAACAGTTTTTTATTCACTCCACTTGTTCGTATAGATTGTTATGCTTACTGTATTGAATCATACGATATCAACAACAGAGCAACAATATGTGACTATTTACCTTGAGAGGGTCTCATGTTTTTACCCATACCGTGGAGCCTAACATGAAAATAAATGGCCTGCAATTGTGACCTTGGTGTACTGGGAAATGACTATGAACATTTCGTGCTAGTGAGGTTTTGTGTTTAACTTGTAGTGATAATTACACGTCTAATATCACCTTTTTACTGTTCCCTAATTCACGGTTCAAAAGTGTGGTTAGTTGCGCAACGTAAAATAGTCAAACTCAATTTTGCAGGTTATAAATTTGACGAGCATGACCGTGACTCGGTCAATTTAAGGCTGCAGTTCGCTCGCTACCCTGGTGCGAGGTCAGGTGGCGGGCACCGTGGCAAGCGTTGAATAATGCGGTTTTACAGGTGACAAACACTATCTCCCATGCGTTCGATCCCTTGCTAGTAATCGCCACTAGGTTCTATTGATGGAAGTATATGGAACAACGAATCACACTGAATTGTGGAACGACACTTTTATGTAGGGCCCACTCGATCCTGGAGTTTTGTGATTACAAGATATTAATCAACAGCCTTGCGATTTTGATAATTTGCATCTCTCGGAATTGGCGCTTTTGTTAGGACAAGCTTGAAAACAGCCTTACGGTTTTGAGAATTTGCATCTCTCTGAATTGGCACTTTCATTAGAACAAGCTTGAACCGAGTGGGATTTTAATAATTAGTGTCGGTTGTTCGAGTAATGAAGTGTGCTAGTTTTTTTAAATTTCTGTCGGCTACAATTTCAGTAGACTTCGGTACTGTTATATTTTATATTTAGATTGACATACAAAAGATTGCTTCTGCTTTTGTTTGCCTTCGGATTAGGATTTCATGTTTGGAGATATTTAATTAGTAATGAACCAATAGCGACTGCAAGATGGGATCCTTAGTATTCTACTTATTTTTTGCTTGTCCTATTTTTGAGTTGCACAAATTACTTTACCCTTTCTTTACTTTTTACTTTCTATGCACAAAAGTAGTAGGTTATTGGTACTCTGGTTCCTCTCATTTGATGTCCTGATATTCTGATTTTTTATTTATTTTTACTAGAACCTTCCTAGAGCTACAAAACCTTTATTTATTTATTTTAAGAGAGGGCTGCCAAATTTGATTTCCCACCTTTCACATAGCGGTCAAGTAAGTTATTTCTTTTCTTTAGTGTTTATTTGTTGAGGGCTTTGGTTGCATTGTTGAGGATAGGTTCAAGTAGAAATTTTGGTTTGCAAAATTCCAACATTAGCTATTGCATCTGTAGTTTTGGGAAAAGAGGAACCATTTAATTTTTGTCACCAACATATCAATACAAAGGTTTAAAGTTTTTGCAAGCTTTATTACTACATTGGATCTAGTCATCATTCTCAACTTTGCTGCTTCTTTGTAGTCATTTAACACTCATTGGTATATTTATATTGTGTGCAACCTTTTGTAAATTTATTGTGTTTTTTGAAGTTGGTCAAATTTGCTCATGATTGGCTGTTTCGTTAGTGTGCTGTGCAGAATGATTGAGGCCTTAATTATCGGTTTTGGCATTTTAAAGTAGGAATTGAGTGAGTTTCTGAATATGTTGAGGATTATTAGGTTCAATCTTGAGCTTGTTACCTCTGTCATGAAGTTGATGTTGAATCCACATGTTAAGCTAGGCGCTCTACTATTGATAATTAATCTTAATGATCTCATTTTAAGGTGATTGAAGCAATCATTTTTTTCTCAAAGAAGTTGGATAGAAGTTTTTAAGTTGATGTCATCTGGTATGTATGTTTACATTGTGCAAAATACGATGTTTTGATCTACAACTGGCATGTTCCATGGGGTTACAGTTGTAATGACTAGTGATTTTATTTTTCTGGAAAGTTAGTAATGATTTTATACCTTTTCAAGTTGTATCTGATTTAAATAGCTGACCAAATTGTTTTGTTTTATAAATTATAAATAAAAGCGCAGTGTGTATGGATGAGGTAGCTTTGATTGACCTTATATTTGACAAGTGGGAAGGCCATTATGGAATAAAATCCAATAGTGGATTGCGATATAATTCAATGATAAAATTACCTAAACTAATGTGATGTCCCATTTGTTATACCAACGCGTAAGAATCTGTGCATGCCTTGTGATGATTAAAGAAGTCAGTGTGAACAGCCATTATTTTGTTATAGTTGTTAGAGAAGTACTGAAGCACCATATTAGACTACTTACCGTTACAGCTGTCAATTTTATATAATACAACTGCCAATTTTTTCTATTTCATATTTTCTATCCCTTTTATTTCAATTGGTGGGTATGGTTCAATGGGTATCGTTCAGAAGTCTATTCTTATAGGCAATAAGGTAATTATATATAATTTAAACAACCTAAATCATTCATATAACCAAGCATAGGTTTGAAGCAAGTTTTAAGCTAACTTAGGGTTATGTTTAGTGAAATAAAGCTAGGGGTGGTTAGGGTTTGGTTATGAATGGTTTGGGCTTAAGGAAACAAGAATTTGTGATAGAAGAAAGACCGTCAATGGGCTGGAAGTAGTAATTTGTAAACAGAGGCAATAGGAAAAGAGAAAAAAATGAAGAAAACTAGGAATCACTCCCAGAATCCCTTAGGCATCACACTTAAGGTTGGGTTGCATCACACAAATCCTAAAGAAGCCTCAAAGCGCTCAACTTTTTATAAAATATTAACTTTATTAAATTAGAGGCATTACATAGCTTTATATAGACTTTAGAGACTTCATAAACCAACTGAAATAAAAAAAGGAAACTACTATAATATTTTAGACTTCCAAAACTAATTTAAGACCAAATAAAAAACATAAATAAAATCTAATCAAATAATTTGACCCACAAGACAACCCATGGGCGACCCCTACAGCCCTTGACAACAATAATGAAATTTATCAAAGTACCCTTGACCTAAAAATCCTACAAAACGTAAAAATAATCATAAAACAATACTCCAAAAATACTAGAAACATAATTATATAAAATTCCTATTAGTTTCTCTATGAAATTATGTCAATATCCAAATATCATTGCTTCTTTGAATTTAGCCTTTCTTGAGCTTCTTATACTTTGCATCATTCTCTCTTGGTTGGAAAAAACTCGACCTCGAGTTTTAAAGTGTTGGAGTATAAGAAGCCACGTCCATGGCTTCACATTAAAATCTTCAAGTTGGCAACATCGTTTCTTCTTCATTGGAGGTAGCAATGAAAGCAACAAGATATTTTCAACTCTAAAGCTGAATTTATCTGGAATGACGAAATCAATTGAAGTAGAAGATGAACCCTTGTATTGATCAGAGTGTTGAGTTGCCCCATCATCCATTCCATTCTTTTTTGGTTTTGCAATATGGTGCTTACAATAAATTTGAATGCTCCTATTTGCATCAACAGACATGGATTTCATATTCTCAATCTTTTTCTCAACGAAAATGTCGTTTTGCAATCCTCTTCTGACTCCGGCATTTGCTTTAAAGGCATATTTTCCTCAGCACTAGCAGTTGGTTGCTTCAATTCTTCAGTCCCGACAGCTTCCAATTCCTTTCTTTGGACTCTAGTAATAACTAGATCTTCTTGGGGTGCTTTTGGATCACTACTAGGAGCCTCGTTATCCTTCAAAATTTGGTTATCTTTCACCTTGTGCAGGTTTCAATCATTCTCCTTCACTTGTAGCTTCAATTGCACAAGCTTTTGGTCTTTAACTCTAGCTTTCAGCTTTGGCACAACTTCTTGTGTGTACTCCATGTTATATTTTGACTGATGTGGCACTTCTTGCCTAATAATAGGGCTTAATGCAGGTTTAAATCTAGCAAGTCTTTGACATGATTCGTTCACAACTCGATTTCGAGTGTCAAGGGCCTCAAGTCTTTGCATATATTCTTCAAAGAAAGTGTTGCCATGTCTTGAATGAACAAGTTGCTTACATGACTCAGCAAGATTATTTGAAGGTATATACTTCTCTTGAAGCTTAGCTTTCATCTCTTGCCATGTGCTTATTGGTGGCAATTCCAATCTTCTTATATCTTCTTCAACACGATACCACCAAACTTGTGCCAAACCTACAAATTTCATCTTCACAAATCTCGTTTTTCGATCATCCGTCCAATCATAGCAATCAAAATATTCCTCGATTGAAACAAGCCAACTAGAGAACACCATAGGATCATCTCTTCCTTCAAAATCTGGAACTTGTTTGTTATGGGGTATAACATATTGTGGCACATAGGATCTCCCACATTGTAAGAACATTGTGGCGAAACCTTAAGCTCTGATACCAAACTGATGCAGAACAAATAGAGAACAAGTAGGGTTTGTTTAGGGTAATAAATAGGTAGGAGTTTAAACATGAAAAGATGGGATTTTAGCACTGTTTAAGGGCTGCAATAAGGCTGTGAACAGTAACTCGTGAATAGTAAACTAAAACATAAAAGAAGAAGAAGAAAGGAGAAGAAGAAGATAGGTCCAGGCATCACACCTAGATTCCATAGGCATCACACCTAGGGTTTGATTACATCACACAGTCCATTATGAAGCTTCAAAACTCTCAACCTTTTATAAAATATCAACTCTATATAATTAAAAGCATTACATAGCTTTATATAGAACTAAGAGACTTTCTCAATCAATTAGAACCAAAAAAAGAAACTACTGTAATAATTTAGACTTCCAAAACTAATTTAAGACCAAATAAGAAACATAAATAAAATCTAATCAAATAACTTGACCCACAAGACAACTCATGGGTGACCCCTACAGCCCATGACAACAATAATAAAAATTACCAAAATACCCTTGACCTAAAAATCCTACAAAACATAAAAATAATCATAAAACAATACTCCAAAAATACTAGAAACATAATTATATAAAATTCCTATCAGTTTTTCTATGAAATCATCCTAATATTCAAATATCATTGCTTCTTTGAATTTAGCCTTCCTTGAGCTTCTTATACTTTGCATCATTTCGTTTGCTCACTAGGAGGTTACCCTAATATCTTTATTCATACTTAACATGGTACATTCAATATCATTATATTAAGTTCTAATTCATTCTAAGCATTTCTCAAATTGATACATGGAAATCAAGCAAACTCAACTTGCCTAACACACCATGAAAGAAACACCTGAATTTTCCTTAATAAGATCTCATCTGTTAATTGATTTTTTTGGCTTTGTGAAGGGAGTACAAAATTTTCTATTTTGGAGCTTCTCAGTAATAGTTGGCCGTTTACTTTAACATGCTTAGTTCTTTCATTATTAGATTGGGTAATTGCTACTGCTTTTTTGTCAGAATATGAATTCATAGCATCTTAATCACATGACCTCACAATTACTGTCAACTTTTTTTTATTAGCCCTTTCCACATCACCAGATACCCCTATCAAAGTTGTGTATCTAGATTTGATCTCCTATCTGAGGTTGATCTTGTCAACTGCATTTATAAAGGTTAAACCTTTGAGTACCCATGACTTGCAAATAGGATGTTCCGCGGAGGACTGATTTCTGGTAGACACCTGATGAGAATCCTCCTGGTTATTCATCCTGTGATAATGCATGACTTGCCTCACTCACTGCGTCAGTATTATTTTGTTTATTGGGAGACAAATATATTAACCCACCCAACTTTTTCTAGCAACAACCTACCTCTTACAAAGGTTTCCACTTTTATCACTTGAGATGTGATTAGCCTTAGTCAGGTTATGTGAACAGTCTAGAGTCTCTTAGAAGATTAAGAACATACTTTCTTCAAAGTAGGGTAAATCTGAACTTCAACAAGTCCCTGTTGGAGAAAAGATAGAATAGGAATTGAAAGCATGTGTAAGAACTTAGTTGTGGCATCTAAATATGATTGAATGTCATTTGAGACTATGATGATTTTATTATATCCAGTTAAGACCCATGAATTCACCAGCACAGGGGGTGGTTTGATTTAAAGTGAAATTGTTACAAGGAAGAGGGATGGATATGCAAGTTGATACCATGAGAAAAGACACGGTTTCTCAGGTTAATAGAGGATATGGCTCTAGACAGAGCAAAGTAGAGAGAAGGAATTATGTGTATGACCCAACTACCTAAGTTTTTTTTGGCATGAGATTAAGCAAGACTTACTTGAACCCTACTAATTGCTTTCTCTCTGATGATATGCAGTTTATCTAACTCATTATTTTCTTTTGTTCTTGATGAAAAGGGTATGTTCATAGGCAAAGTTCAAATTCACCATACGATTGACCAACTGTATTTGCTAGTAATTAGTTACGTAATGCCAGAAAAGAGGCACCCATGGAAGCCTGTAAAGGCACTACTGACCAATGCCTTATTTCCACCAGCAATTTACTCCAAATTAGACAGCCAGGGGATTTAAGGGAGAAGGTCTTATCCAATCCACCAAATCACCCCTTCCTCTCCCCCCCCCCCCCCCCCCCCCCCCAACTTGGTCAGACCAGTTGAAACCTCCTGATCTCCTCTCTTTTGGTAGTTAGGATATTTTTGGGTGTCATCCGCTTCAGCAGTTTCAATAAACTGAGGTATTTGTAAATTCTCCTGAATAAAATGGTGACAATTCAGGAGCCAGAAAAATGATGTTACTGCTTGTAGTGTTAAGCAAGTAAAGCTATGGTTACCAACTGTAGTATGCTACAAATTAACACTCTTCAGAAGGAGGTGACTTTTTTTCTCTAATGGATATATTTTATGATAATTAATTAGCTGTTGGCATTGCCAGTTATGCAATTCATGGAAACCCAGATCATGTTCAAGTTCATCATCATCATCTCATCAAAGGTGGCAACAAACATGATTTTGTTTCTCCATCTATGAATTTAACGGAAAAAACTTGGTTCACCATCATCAAGGCCCTTCATTTCTCATATATGTAACAGAGTTGGCATTAGATAGATATTTATACTCTTGCCTGATGTTGAGTGCTGGCATTTTTTATAACATTTTTTATTGTGCCGTGTACATTTAGGGACTCGTCCTTCTTGGCCTCGTCTATAACTGTCTTTGTATTTTAAAGCTAACATATTACTTTTATTGTCTGTTTGCATAGTACACCACCATCTGTATTTTAGCTTCTAATATTTCGTAAAGCTATAAACTCTCAATTCCCATGGTCACATTTCTATTTTTTTAGAATAGGATTGTCATTTTTTTATGACTTGAACAATGCATGGAATCACATTTTCAGGAATTTGAGGGAGCTGTTCAAGCTGGATGCTGCAGAGTACATGATGTCCATCTGTGGCGATGATGGTCTGAGGGAACTGTCTTCTCCAGGGAAAAGTGGCAGCATTTTCTATATTTCTCATGATGGTAGATTTTTCATTAAGACTTCACGAAGACCTGAAATGAAGGTCTGAACATAGAGAGACATCTGTACTGGGTTTTGTTTGTTATGTTTTTTCCCATACCCAGCATATTAGTATACTTGCCTATTCACTTGAATTTAGTCGTCAGATAATCTCATATGAGATCTATTACCTGAAAGAAATACAGAATTAAGTATGAAGATTTTCCATTCAACAGCTTTTTAATCTGAGGATAAGCAGATACTATCGTACTTTCATATTATTTTGGATTTGATCTCCACTGCTTAAGATCATGTTGAAGTTTGCCAAACCTACTTAAAAAGATAATGAGCTTGAGAGTAAAGTCTCACCCTAAGGCCCTGGTATGTAGTAAGCACAAGCTTCACTTGTTGACCAGTAAGGAGTTTGAGCAAGAGAGTAGAATTATATTTAATATTAGTTTGAGCAAGAGAGTATAATTACGTTGAAAAGTTATATATTTCATAACTTAAACATGAAGATTTCATTCATGTAACAATTGTATTCTAAAAAATGCAAAACAATTATAGAACATTGTAATACACATGATGCATTCCTCTTATAAATGTTTCAAAACATATTTAGAGTGCATAAGTTGTGTTTTCAAGAATGCATGACGTTATTATTTTGAACGTATTCATCACATAAGACACTCTTGGAGGGTTCAAGAAGTGTCACTGAAGTGTCGATAAAGTGTTTGTTATTATGAATTTATTTTTTTTAATTAAGACACGTTGAAGAAGTATCAGATACGCATTTAGGAGTTTCTGAAGATTGTCGATGTCGGACATGATGCTTCTTTTGTAGAAGTGTCTGTGTTTCGTAGATATTAATCTGCTTATATTGATTTTTTATCCACGTGAATAAAGGTTGCTGACAGTAATTTCTTTAATGATCTTTAGGCTCTACTCAAGATGCTGCCTAGCTATTATGAGCATGTAAAAGATCATGAGAACACCCTGATAACAAAATTTTTTGGGCTCCATCGAATAACATTGAGAGGTTTTAAAAAGGTATTTGGTAACCCATACAGCTGTTGTTTTCTCTAGTGCTATAATTTTTACTTTGCAAGTGCAATCAGTGCAGGTTTTTATAATCTATTTCATTTTCAGGTATACTTTGTAGTCATGGGGAATATGTTTTGCACTGACTTGCGAATACATCGTCGTTTTGATTTGAAGGGTTCAAAGCAGGGACGATTCACAAATCCGGATGAGATTGATGAGAGTACCACTTTGAAAGATCTCGATTTGTCATATGAATTTCATATGGACAAATTGCTACGAGAGTCACTTTTTAGGTACATTCCTTTCTTTGGAGGTGTATGATGTTTGCAAATTAACTGTTTATTCTAGTTCATTGATAAGCAGCATAAAATTTTGGGTTATTTAAGCCAAGTCTCCCTTAACTATTAGCGAACATCTCTTTATCCCCTCATCCATGAACTCGTACATTTTGACCGTTTCAACTATAAAAATGCATCACTTCCATCCCCTCTAGAAGGGGGCATTTGTAAAGTTTTTATAGTTGCGAGGGCCAAAATATATGGGTTCATAGATGAGGGATACAAAGTGATATTCGCTAATAGTTGTAGGGTCTTGGAGTAATTAACCCTAAATTTTTAATAAAGAACGCTAAAACTAAAAGATTCACTACAAGTTCAAGCCATAAATTGCTTTATTTTCTGTGTATTGCCTACTGCCTACTAGTGAGATTTAGTTAATACCAAGAGATCACCTGTCATCCATGCTGCCACTTTCATCTTTCTTTTCTTTTTCTTTTTTTGGTTTGTCTTCTTTTCTAAACCCCAAATCCATAGCAGAAACACTACATAAGGGATATTGCCAATGAAAGACTCCTGAAGTCTTTTTGGAAGGAGTCCTAAGTATGAGAATATACCTATTCTATTTAGTGTTTCCTTTTAGGATTAGGACTTAGTGTTCTATATCTATTAGAACGAACAAATAGCAGCGACAGAGATCAAAGTACGAACAGTAGTCATCTTAGCAACAGGAGTAAATGTCTCCTCATAATCAATACCATACTCTTAGGAGAAACCTTTGACAACCAGACGAGCTTTGTAGCGCTCAAGAGAACCATCTGAATGAGTCTTGACTTTGTAGACCAATTTGCAACCAACCAGATTCTTACCAGCAGGCAAATGAACTAACTCCCAAGTCCTAGTTTTCTGTAGAGCAAATAACTCATCCTCCATAGCTTGAACCCAATGAGGATCCTGACAGGCCTCCTTATAAGACTGAGGTTCTATAAAAGAGTGAATAGCAGACAAAAAGGTACAATAGGAAGCAGAAAAACAAGTATTAGATCAACCCAACCTGTTTGGAGGATTACGTGCTCGAGGAGGATATCGGTGTGCAGTAGGATTAAAGTCGTCAGAAGCAAGAGGATCAGCAGTAGGGGCAGAGACAACTAGTGAAAGAGGAGCCTTGCGACAAGAATAAACTAACAACGGAGGAGAAGAAGAAGTCGAAGGAGGAGAAGCAGCCAGAGGTGAAGCAAGAGGAAAAGATGGAACAAGCTCAGGAGGAATTGTGGAGATGTACTCATCAGACAGTACTTTAGAAAGAAACGGATCAATATGAACCCAATCTTTTTCGGAAACTGGGGCGGTGAGAGGAGAAAGCTGAAAGTAAGATAGACGCTCGAGAAAGGCAACATGGCGGGAGACATAAAGGCGATGGAAAACAGGGTCATAGCAGCAATAACCTTTTTGAGTGAGACTATAATCCAGAAAGACACATAGGACAGACAGAGCACTAAGTTTGGTTCTATTTTTATGAAGTAAAATGATAAAACAAGCAGACCTAAACACATGGAGGGAGTAATTAGGAAGTTGAGAAAACAGAGCCTCATAAGAAGACCGACCAAAAAGAAGGGGGGTAGGATTACAATTGAGAAGAAAAGGAGCAGTAAGAACTGTCTCACCCCAAAATGGAGCCGAAATGGAGGCAGAGAGAAGGAGATACCTAGCTGTTTCAAGGAGATGACGGTGTTTACGCTCAGCTTAACCATTTTAGGCTGGTGTATCCGTACAAGAAGTTTGGTGAATGGTTCCCAATTTGGCCAAATATTCACAGAATTTGGTTTTAAAGTATTCCCCACCCAAGTTAGACCGCAATAATTTAATAGTAGACCCAAACTGTGTAGTGACCATAGATTGGAAAGTACGGTATATCTGGTAGAAGTCAGACTTATAAGTCATAAGATAAACCCCATGTGTAACGGGTGCAATCATCAATAAAAATCACATAGTATGTAGAACCCCTTTTAGTAAGAATAGGAGAGCATCTCCAGACATCAGTATGCACAAGAGAAAAAGGAGAAACAGAAATAGATGTACTTTTATTAAATGGTAAAGCTGACATTTTAGTAAGTTTACACCCCTGACATTCATCAATTTGACTAGGAGAAACTTTACCCAATAATCCTGACTAAGCTAAAGACCATAAGCGGTCAACAGAAAAATGACCGAGGCGAGAATGCCATAAGTAAAACTGAATCGATTGAGAATCTAATTGAAATGAGAAAAGTGCAGCTAGAGAGGTGGATATGCTTTTTGGACACCCGATCCTGCACCAATAGACAGAAGAGGAAAACATAACATCAAAACCAGAGGCATCAAGTTAATTGATTGATAATAAACTGACAGATAACTGAGGGACATAAAGAACAGAAGGAATAGTAACAATAGACATGGCAGAGGGTAAGACAGACCCAATAGACAAAACAGATATACCAGACCCATTAGCAGTATTAACAGTAATAGGAACGGGTGGAGGAATACAGTTTTGAAGTAAGGAAATGTGAGGAGTCATATGATGAGAGGCACCAGAATCAAAAAGCCAGACAGAAGAAGGAATACCTGAAGAGGACCCAAGCAAACCTAAATGAAGAAAGGTAAGAGTAGAGGCAGATGGAAATGGCTGACAGATGGACAGGATATGTTGAAGTTGTGCAACTTGAGCACTCAAGGAAGCCATGTCAGGATCGGGAGTTGGAGTAGATGTAGTATAAGCGGCAGGAGGTCGGAAAGTACCCGAAGTAGGACCATGGAACTGTGTCTGAGTAGACAGAGCAGGCTGACATCCCTTCTTGGGACAGTTGTTCTTCCAATGACCCCTCTGATGGAAAAAAGTACACTCATCTAGCTCTAATGGTCCTTTCTTGGGTTTTGCAGTAGCTTGAAGCTGATGAGGAGGTGGGGTTGATAACAAGGGAGGCCTGGCAGGAGCCAAGAAGACAAAAAAAGGCAAAATCTGACTGGCTGTCTTAAGACGGGTTTCCTCGGAGAGGAGCTCATGAACAATAGCATCCACAGAAGGAAGAGGAGAGCGGTGAAGGATGTCACCTCGGATAGCCTCATACTGATGGGAGAGCTGTTAAGAACTGCACTAAACGATCTTTCCCTCGAAACTCAATATAAGCGTCCACTATCTTGAGACTAGGTGGTTCCATAAGAGCCAACTGATCCCAGAGACCGGTCATCTCAATATTGAAGTCTTGAATAGTTTGATCCTGCTGATGAGCACTCTGAATAGTTGTTTCCAACTCATACCGCTTGGCAAAGTTGAACTGCTGATATACACCTAGTAAATAATTCCACACCTCCTTCGCAATACTGTACTTGGAAAATATTATTCCAATACGGTCATCCACAGAATTATGAAACCAAGTCAGAACTTGGGCATTATCGCAATCCCAAGTGTCATAGAAAGTTAGATACCCTTCCGCTTTTGGGTCTGATAGACAAAGAACAGAACCAGAAACAGAAACATAGCTCCATTTTTTTTGACCAAGAAGAAAATTCTTCATAACACTGGCCCAATAGGCATAATTGCCACCGGTGAGTTTGCATTTGATGGCTTGAATTTTAGTATCAGACATTGTAATAAAACAAGGTTTTATGGTGTCCAAGAATAAATAAAACAAATTAATCAGAGGGGTCAAACAGAGAGCTTGATACGAGAGAGATGGCGGAGCTGAATGTCAACGACATATCTGAATAGATCTGAAGAAGAGATGGCGGATCTGAAACGGTGACTACAACGACGGAGAGACCAGGATCGCGAGTCTAGTGAGAGGCGAGGTGAACGGCGACAGAGGCGAGATGATCGGTGGCGATTGTCAACCACGATCGACTTGAACAGAGGCCAAACGAACCAGATGGGTCGACTCGAACCAAGACCAGATGAACCGAACCCAATCTTGAATAAGATGGGTTGCACGTATTCACAAGGTTGAACCAGAGAGTTCAACGAATAAAAATACTTCAACAAAACAGAAAAGCTTCAACAGTGGCTGCTAGGGTTTCGAACCAGGTTCTGATACCATGTAAGTTTTATGAATGAAACTGTATATTAGATTGAATTAATTGAAAAAGAATACACCAATACATCACTTATATAGAATACTAAGTCCTAATTCTAAATGAATACAACACTGATATAGAATTCTAATAGATATAGAACACTAAGTCCTAATCCTAAAAGGAAACACTGAATAGAATAGGCATATTCTCACACTAAGGTCTTCTTAAATTTAACATTATTTTGAATTTTGTGAATTTTGTGGCATATCATGTTACCTGCATTCTTCTAAATTTGTGAAGTTCACTTGTCAGACATTTGATTTGACTCTTTGGATAAATGTGTGGGATGTGTCCGACATCATGTCTAGTTGGACTTGCACTCAACAAGCATATCTAAGTAATAATGTTTACTATATAATTATGCAAATGACTTCCATTTCATGGAATACATGGTCCATGCTAGCTTATAAACTTAATTTTACCCTAAAAAATAAAAGAAGTGTTGAAGAATTTAAAATTCAGCTGTATGGGTCCATGGACATGAGATTTAGATAAACTGAACACATAGACGTGTATCCGTTACCTGTACTCAAGTCGATGTAACATAGGTGGCACGTTTCAAACACAATGGAAGTTTTGTTCATTTTAGATGTGTAGTACCATTGTGAATATAAACACACACACACACACACACACATAAATATTATGTGTAGGATGTACATTGAACCCGGGTGCCAAAGTTGGCTAACCCCTAGGGATCTGGTGTTTTCATCTGCACTAGTGATCCTTGCTGAAGGAACTGTTTCTCAAAGTGAGTGGGAACTGTTTGTGCTGTTAAAGCCCATACCCTTCAAGAAAGCCTAAGAGATGCCTCTTCAATGAATTCAAAATTGCATTGAAGAAAGGAGGTAGAAGGGTTTGTTGAAGGTATAACCATCACATCACATAGGGGAGATATTGAGCTCTGCACCTATCTTGCAGTTCAGCTTTCGTTGATTTTTTGTTCCTGTCTATGAAGTAGATTTGTTAGCAAAGATAGAAGCACCTATTTGGGAAGACTAACCATTTTTTATTCTTCTTGATATTTGATTTGAGATTCTTTCGTTCTAATTCACCTTGTTTTCATCAAATAGAGTTGATTGAGCATGTTGTAATGTAAGGGCATTTGTTGTGGGAGGATCTCACATCCTTTCCAGGTTGAAACTTTTTTGCACTTTTATCTTGGTATATATATACTCACGTGCCTTCTTGGTTTCTTGAGGAATTCTCTGAACACGTTATGTTGAGGCATGTCCTCCTCTTGTTGTGTAAGTGGTGAACAGCTATGTAGCCTGGCATGCATGCCCAGTTATAAAGCCAAGTAGGCTGAGAAGCTAAGAAACACATACACTTCTAAGTTGGTGATGTGTTTGTGTTAGACACCGTCAGATGCTCCCGGAGATGCGTCCAAACATGTCATATTATTAAAATAATTACACCCAATTTATTAAAAACGTGTCATATTATTATTTTTAATATTTTAAGAACTTGACACACTTTAGACACTTGAGGGATACATATGTCCATTACTTATAACACGTTGTAAATTTGAAGAATCTAAATAGAGATCCAATGATAAAATTAAACAATGTGAATTTATTGATGTTGGACAATTTAGGAAACTTGTCTAAGCCTGCCTACAATTGTGGTGGTTTTGTTATGAAAAGATTATAGTGTAGAAGATAGATTTATTTGTTTGTAAGAAGGAAGAGGGTGAAATTGAGTTGATTTCTGAAGTGTTAGGTCACAGAATTTGTAGAGAAGCTAGGTTGGATTATCGCGGGTTTCTACTGTGGATTAAAAGGCCAAATGGTACGGCAAAGTGTTAGGAATGAGAAGAAGAGAGAAGGAAAGAGGCACTTCACCCTTGCACTCTCCTACTTTTAACAGGACAAGGACTTCAATTTAGAAACTAAGAATATTTGGTGACTATAAATATTCTAGACCAATTAGGACTCCAAATAAAATTTAAAAAACATTACTTGTATTCCTGTGACCAACTATTATTAAAATTACAAAAGTACGCATAACTACATAAAAATAAAGCTCAAACTAAACCTAAACATGATTAAATAAATCCCCAGGTGCATTTCGTGTGAAATTTCAAGTTTACCCTTTTTCTTTTATCCACACTCCTCATCATTTATACCTATTATAATAATCCCTCTATGTATAGATTTTTTAATTTAAAGAATTGCAAAGTCCAAAACTTACAATTTGTTTGTGAATAAAGCTTTCTAAATAAATATTAAGATTTTTGGTTCACACACTTTTCAGATATGTAGAATGTGAAAAATGATTTCTTACTATTTTGATATAATAAAATATAAACATATTTTCAATTAGAAACAAAAATTTAGATATTATTTTCATATACATATATAAATATATTTATTTGTTGTCATATTCCTCTTAGTTTTTTAAAAATTGCAGTGTCGGCATATTTGTATCGTGTTGTATCCATGTGCTTGTCCATTTCCAGATTTGTTCTCCTTAGTCGGGAAGAGTGGTCTAACCTTAATCCAGAAGCAACCTCCTTTGAGATTCGACCATTTTCCAATTATAAAAATTTCACACCTTGAGAAATTCATTTTGTTGTTAGCATCCTTGGCGGCACGTGTTTGAATCACGTAAATAGCCTCTCCATAAATGGGGGTAAGGCTATGTACATCTTGCTCTCCCCCATGGTCAGCTTTAGCAGGGGCCTCATGCACTGGATCACCCTTTTTTTTCCATTTCAAGTCTTTCAATGCTGCAACATATCTCTAATTGGTTTTGTATTGTGGGTCTTCTTCAAAAAGTCAGAATTAAAGGGAACCTGCATAGAAAGTTGTGATGTCACTGCTTGAAACTGGAGGTATGCATTTTGACTAAACAGCATTGAATTTGATGCAAGTTCTTCAACCAAAGTTGAAAATCTCCTTGTACATCTTTGGGGTTAGTTTATTAGTTTATTTGTGCTCAAAGATAATACCTGTAGGCTGTATCTCTTTAGTGAGGCTGCAAGATAGTATATTTTAGATTTCATGTCAGATGGAAATGGGAAATCTTGTTTCCAACATGCATTGTCAACTCACCTTGGTTACATGGACCCTACCTGTGTACGGATTATATGTGCAGCCCCAGTATCCAAAATTTGTCACTTGGATCTTCTAAATTTTTATGATGTTTGAAGAAGAAAGAGCTAAAATTCATAGTAAAGAAAAATTAGTCTTGCACATGAATGGAAGATAGAAATCTCCTTTTCCTGCTAAATTCCATTTGAAGTACATTCTTGAATAACATCTTATGCAAAATATTACACATGCACAATATATTTAAATGTTCAAGATGTGTCCATGTACCTATACCCAACTTTTTTGGATACATATCCCTATACCTAAGATTTGGGCTTTAGGGATATAGATAAACCTTTAAAGTTTCAGGTCAACTTGGAATGAAAGAAGCTTGTTTCTGCCATCCATTGTTCTTTTTTCACATATCATCTCGACTAAGTTGTGAAGTTTTTGTATGGCATGATGATACTCTTCTTGTTACAGTTTAGTTGCTTTTGTTTGTATTTATTTTTATTTTTTTTTTGAGAGAGTTGCTTTTGTTAAAATCAATATGCACATTGTAGCTTACATATCTAAACATTATTTGACTATCGTTAACCCTGCAGATAACTTCATCCACATTCTAATAGGTTTTTGTTTTCCTCCTCTTTTGCAGACAACTCAAACTAGACTGCAAGTTCTTAGAATCTCAACAGATAATTGATTATAGCCTTTTGTTGGGATTACATTTTAGAGCTCCTGAACAACTGAATGCCTTCTTAGAACCCCCTGATGCACTGCACAAGCATGAGATCTTGCCTCAAACTGATGGTAGATATCCCTTTCTGTTATGTTATGAACATCTTTTGCTGGTAGTTATAGTTATTTTGTTTAGATCCATGGTTGTATTTTTATTTTTTTATTTTATTTTTTGGTTAATTTTTGTTCTTGCAAGATATCTTTAAATATTTTGGCTTGTTGGGTTATATTTATTTTTGTGCCAGTTATTAGACAGTGATAATTTGATTGCGTACTTATTTTATGTTCTAAATTGGTACAGTTCTACAGTATTGATATTGAAGACTAGATAGATACTAGGACATTCTCTATTTATAATATGTGTGCTGGACAATGACATATAAATATTTTCTGTTGCTTATAAGAAATTTTAATACCTGTGTATTAAGAAGCTTCTTCTCTTTCTGTAACCAATAAAAAGATATGCTAGAAGAGACACATGCGTTGTATTTTTATTATTAGAGTTACAATACAGATAATCTGAATGACAAAGGTGCATTGGTGAACAGATGAAACGAGAATTAAGGCTTCTAATGATAATTCATTTCTTTTCATCACCCTGAAGCTTTCTTTCCTTCCTCACAAAATCTGAAATAAGACTAAAGAGATTAATTATGTATTACCATAAAAAATTTAAAAAAATAAAAATGAAACTGTAGAACACCCTCATCAGCATGTGGTTCTTGCCAATTGGGATCAATAATATTGGGCAGGCTTTCTAAATTAATTAACATGATCTCTAAATCCAACCGGTTCAGATTCCTCTTGTGCATTTAGTGCTTTTGTGGGACACTTTTACCTGCTGCTCTCCTTATAAAAGCCTACTATATCTTACACATATGTGGAACTATTGTTTGAAAAAGACAACTGATGTCTCTGATGAGTTAGTAACTACTAAAACAGAATCATTGCTTTCTAACTTTAGTTTTCTTCTGTCATTTAGTTATTTCATTGTTTTCAGCTTATGTTTACTTGCTTTAGGTGCAATCTCACGTGAGATCTCGATTCCTCCGAAGGGTCTGCTCCTAGTTACTCACGAACCAAGCTCTGTCAGCACTGCACCAGGGCCTCACAGTAGAGGAAATACTTTGAGAGCATTCTCTGTAGGGGAGAAGGAAGTTGATCTTCTTCTGCCTGGTGCTGCAAGGTAGCTTGCTTTATTTTTTCATTTATTTATTTTGATAACTAAGATACACAAACAGAAAGGCATCAAAGGGGATGCAGCTGTAGGCTTAATTAAGTTCATGGTCAATTTACTTTGAATTTTGTTAATATGTGCCCTTAGGGCACATGTTCAAAAGCTTAAGACGATTGTACATTCTTCATGAAAGTGAGTGCAATAAAGAGTGTACAATGTTTTCAAGCTTGCTTAACATGTTCCCTAAAGACACATGTTAACAATACTCTTACTTTATTTTCAACTAATTTAGCTTGTAATAGGCTCTGTTTGGTTCATGTTCACAATGCAGGAAAAGGAAAATAAAATACAAAGAAAACCCTCTTTCCTGTTTGGTTACAATGGCAAATAGTAAAGAAGAGAAAATGTGAAGAATACAAAGTAGAATTTCTTCTTATTAGACGTCATTTTTTTTTTTAATATGTTACTTTCCTTTTTATTTTTCTATATTTTTAACCATTTCAACTTCTAAATTATGAAGAATAACATTTTTCCTTCATTTTTTTATTACATATTTGTCAGAAACTTAAATTTGGTAATAGGGACTTGTTGAACTAGTTTACTACCAAAGCAGTAACTATTTGCAATTTGTTCATGTCATGAGTGCAATTAGGAGTAAACATGACAGTGTACTCGTTTGAATTATTGTCTTTCTATTACATATTTGTCATTAACTTGAAATTTGGTAATAGGGACCCATTGAAATAGTTTACTACCAAAGCATCGTTTATTTACAACTATTTGCAATTTCTTCAGGTTACGAGTGCAATTAGGAGTGAACATGCCGGCCCAGGCTAATCGCAAGCTTCAACCGGATGAGACTGATGCAGAAGTTGAACTTTTTGAGGTTTATGATGTTGTGCTCTATCTTGGCATAATTGATATATTGCAGGAATACAACATGAAAAAGAAAATAGAGCATGCATACAAATCACTGCAATACGATCCTATGTTGATTTCTTCTGTTGAACCCAAGCTTTATTCTGAGCGTTTTATCAAATTTCTGGAGAAAGTTTTCCCCGACCCCGAACAACCTTGAAAGGCAGGAAGATCTTTGTTTTTATTCTGCAAAGTGTCATGGTTTTTTAGGTATGGCTTTTGTTATTTTGCGTGTTTCGCATCAATTCTTTTACCATTCTCCATAAAGTAATGTTATTGCATCATATACAAATGTGCCTTTTTTATTATAAAAAAAAATTAAAAAAAAGTTTGTACAGTAAAATTCAGCAAAGCATTGCTGACTCATATTCAATTCATTTGATTGTATATAATATTGTTACAGTTAATATTCAGAAATGAAGCTGCAATTATTTTGTGATCATATTCAGATAGTACTATTTTGCTTTTGTACATTACAAATAAGAGCTAGTTGAGAATGCTCGGTTTGATTTGATATTTTGTTGTTGGTCTTCTTGTCTTTGCTTGTATGGGCCACAAATAAGAACAGTTGAGAATGCTCAGTTTGATCTGATCTTCTGTGAATTTTAACCAGATAGGATGATGGTACAATTCTCATTCGGACAGTGGGGATCATGTCTACATTTATATGCAACATTGAGCCTAATAATAAGGGATGTGAGGTCAGAAAGAACATACATCGGCTCATTTCTTCAACACCTTGTATACTTTCTTGCTATATGGCCCAGTTCTTGTTGAATTCAGATATGTGGATTTTTCACAAATGGTTTTGTGGGTTATATTAACAATATGTACAGAATCAACCGTTAAAGAATAGAAAAACGCACAGAAAGTGCATTATGTGATTTAGATTTATCTCAAGTGTGACCCACATAACACTTAAGATGGATACGTGAACTATACATTATACTTTTTGTGCATTTTTTGTATTTTAATTTTGTGTAACTATCAATTTGGAAGGATTGGAGAGGGGGATTGGACTCTATGTCCAACCTACCATGGGGTCCATTGTTTAGTTGAGAATTTGTAGGCTGGATTAAGAGTTTCACCGGATTATGAATCCCATATATATTGGACTATTGTGTCCTAAGAGGATGTAGGATAGAAATGATGGGAAAATTCTATTTTTACACATCAAGTTTTCTTACTCTACACACTTAATAAATTTTTTCAGAATTACAATTTTATCCTTTAACAAAATTACTATCTCACCCACCACCATCTCATTCACACATTTCATAATTTTTCCACACACATCTCACTCATTACCATCTCACCAGTCGTTTCACCGCTGGTCATCGCCATAGCAGGCTGAGAATTTGAGATTGGGACACAAAATGCCCTAGATTCACAACTGCCCTACAACATTAATTGATTGAGAAAATTTCAGATCTTGATGTTAAATTGGAATCTGAACCTCATGATTCCAAATATATATATATATATATAGAGAGAGAGAGAGAGAGAGAGAGAGAGAGAGAGAAAGAGATCATCTTTGAAGATTTGCTGAAGGGAATTGAGAATTATGAAGAATAGCTCAAGAATCTACTAATACAAGTGATAATCAAAGCTCTAGGTAAGTATTTAAACTCTAATTCATGAAGTCCATAATTATGTGAATTCAAAAAGAGTATGAACATAAATGCAAGAATTGAGTTGAATATGTGGAGATTAGAATCAATATGTGCATGCATGTGTAAATTTGTTATAATTCCTCATATTTGAGCATGAAACATGATAATCATGTTAAATTGAGAGTTACGTAACACATGCATTCATGAATCATGGGGTTATGAGACTTAGTTTCATGTTTTGAAGATGATTAAACAAGAATTCAAGCTAGATCATACATGCATGAAAGTTTTGAGTTTCATTTTGACAAATTCATGAAGCTTTGGATATGGGAGATATGTTTCATCAGGTATTAATGTTCAGTTACATGTTTTCAAGCTTTTGGACAAGACATGCATGAAATTGGAGCCTTGGAGTTGTGTTTGAAGCTTAAACACAATTCTGGAAATTCCAGAATTCGAGCAGTTCGCTCAAGCATATATTTCGAGCTGCTAGTGCTTTTGCAGACATTGGGGGTTGGCTCGAGTGACCAAAAGACCTCTCGGGCGACCACCCTTTATTTTCAGTCTTAGCTAGAGGGACTGAAAACTTAGCTCGAGTGTAAAATGAGAGCTTCCAGTACTTTGTAGACCAAGGGGTTCGCTTGAGAATCCAATGTTGCGCTCGAGCGAAATACCCTGTTTCAGGAAATTTTGAAAGTTGTTTTGTATTCCAATTTCTATTGTCTTTCATTTATGTGCATTCTTAAGCACACATTGAGCATTCTAAATGAATTAAAGAACTAGAAAGAAACCAAAGAAGATTAAGCAAACTAAGGAACATATTGAATTGTATTATGGCCCAATGTGTTGTGAATTATGTAGGGTCAACTGCAAAGACGATTCAGCCATCTGACCACAGTGAGTAATATCTTAGTAAATATATATTACTCATACTCTATTTTCTAATTGTTCACATGTGGTAAGCTTTTCTGAACTTATGATCTGATAAGTGTGAATGAGTTGCCATCTTCTGTCAAAACGATATACTAACAATGTGATATTAACAAGAGTATTATCTGTAAAAGAGAACGACATGATGTAGACATGAACTAAGGTCATTCTGTATACTAGATTAGTGGACCCAAGGTCGTTCTGGATCTCTGATAATACTAAATGACTGATATGGTATGATTGAATCTCTGATAAGACTAAATGATTGATATGCAATTGCAAAATTGAATGGCCATTATATACTGTAAATGCTTGGACCCAAGGTCGTACTGATAAGAGATGACTGAATTCGATCAGTGAGTCCGTTAACTGTTGGACCTGAGGTCATATTGTACATTGTTGGGCCTAAGGCCGTTTTTTTGAGTAATGATTGAAGTCGTACTGTATATTCTGCTATCTCTTGGACCTAATGTTGTTCCATCGCATGTTGGACCCAAGGTCATTCTGATGTAAAATGTTTATTGATTATATATGCTCATTGATTAAATATGCTTATCTGTTAAAAAGGGGCTCATTCACTCAACCCCTTTACTTTAGTATTATTTATTAGACGTTAGCTCACTCTTTATTTATATGTATGTAGATGAGCAGCGGGATGTCCTGCCTCAACCCTAGTGAACCCATTAAGGATATCAGATACCGTGGAGTCTGCTATGGATGCCTCCCATGCGAGGCTTTGTTTATGATTTTCCTTTTGTTTACTTTTGTGGTCCCGTAGGACGAAGTCTATATCTAAATATGTAATCCCTACCTACCTTAGCTCAGAAAGTCACATGAAACTAGATTTCATTTCTTGCAACCAAATATTAAACAAAATTTAGAATGGAACACGTGTAGGTGTAGATCACTTCATGCAGTGTGAAATCAATTTTCTTGATATTATGGTACGTAATGTTTTTAGCAAACTGGTAGGGGTGCACTTGTGTTGCAATAGTAAATTTCACATATTATTTTATATTTTTACAGTAATGTTTAAACATTAAAAATTTAAAGTAGATCAAAATCAATCACATAAAATAATTGTAATCTATATCACATAATTGAACTTATTATTATTAAATATATAATTTACCAGTGGTACTGCATATACCAATTAATGTACACACTGGTGTACCAACTAGTGCTATGCCATTATTTTCTTTTTTTGATCAGCAAAATAAAACTTTATTAATAAAACCAAACAAAGAATGACTTAGTATATCAAAAGAGAAGAGTGCAAAAACATCACAGTGAACCATCAAGATCCCAACTAGGTTGGTATCAGGATGAACACCAAATCATCTGCTAGCACAAACTCTGAGCTCTAAGTTAGTGAGAAACCAACATATAGAGCAAAAGCAAAACACAATCAACAAACAGACACCAACAGCTACACAAAACACCACTACCCATCAATTAGCAACACCAGCTTCTCAACCTAGCAATCACCAAAACAGCAACAACCAGCAATCAATTCACCCAACAAACAGCAGCAGCAGCAACAATATACATCAGCACCATCAGACAGCAAACAAACCAGCAAACAAATTGCCCACCAATAGCAGCACCAACAACAATATATAGCAACATCAACAGCTATACACCACCATAACCAGCAACAACTAACCAACAAAACATCCAGCAAGCAGTAGCAACAGCAACAATATGTAACACTAGCAGCTATGCACCATCCTAACAGCAGCACCAGAATTTCAACTAAAAACAGAGCTCTTGATCTACTGCAAATTGTTCACAAGTTCATGAATTGTGTACTCACACTTGGGGAAGTGAGGTTTTGACCACATGATAATCCAAACTTTAACTAAATCACACAACTCCCCCAGATGGGGCTGAACCCCATTAAATACACTCATTTATTGCTTTCCATAAGGACCATCTGAGAGCACACGGGATAGATTTCCACAACATCCCAGGAAATTTCTTGTACTTAAAGCTAGCCCATCAACATAGAAACCCCTCAACTGAACCAGGCAGTACCCACTAAAGACCCCACCAACCTATCATATGTGACCATAATCTCCACACCACTGGGCACCACATCCTCACATGATTCAAAGACTCCCCTTCAGATTTACAAAACACAAAATAAAGTACTAGCATCCTCACTAATCACCCAATCCGTTGTAAAAAAATCTGCTAATTTAATTCTCCCCTTCCAGGCTAGCCAACAAAAAAATTGTGCTTTTGGAGAAGAAACATTTTTCCAAATAATAGACAGAGCAGCTGAGACAGCTCTAGCCTCTTGTCTATTATAGACTGAAGCCACACTAAACTGCCCAGAAGGAAGTGCTTGCCATTTAAGGCAATCATCAACATTGGTTAAAACAATTGGAGTAGTATTAAGTTTTGAAATGAGTGTGCCCGCCTCAGCCATCTCTCATTCCCTTAAAGGTCTTCTAAATTGGAAACACCACTCTACAAAAGCACCCCTTTGAATCAAATTTCTCGCAATAAAACATCACTATTTGTAACCAATTCAAACAATCTGGAAAAAGTCCCTTTGAAGCATTGATTATCCAGCCACTCGTCCTCCTAAAACCCAATCGTATTCCCATTTCCAATAACAAAGTCCACATTTGAAAAATAGAAGTTCCTGAGATGGGAGTTGCAATCTACTACACCAAGAATGTCACACCAGACCCTTGATAATCTGATTGAATTATCTATAAATGGGAACCATTGTCCACCATACATTGGATATTTGCAACATATTATTCTTTTCCACAAGGCCTTATCTTCATTCGCAAACCTCCACCACCACTTAGAAAGCAAACAATCATTAACATCTCTAATCGTCTTTACTCCTAGCCCTCCATGATCCTTACTTTTAGTAACCTCCTCCCATTTCACCATATGTAACTTCCATCTTAAATCTGAACCTCCTCACAAAAAAGTAGCCTGAACCTTATCAATAACCTTTGCCACTCCCTCTGGCATTTTAAACAAGGATAGATAAAACAAAGGCAAACTTGATAACACTGATTTAATTAAAATTAGTCTTCCACCGAACGATAGCATCCTCCTTTTCCACCCTGTGAGTTTAGACTTGAACTTATCAACAACAGGTTTTCCAAGTTTGCAATCTCCTTGGACTAGCCTCTAAGGGCAAGCCTAAGTAAGTAAAAGGTAATTTGCTAGACTTGCAATGCAGTCTAGTAGCAAAATCCTCAAGAAGCCCCTCTTCCACACTTACCCCGTAGACACAGCTTTTATGGAAATTTATCTTTAGACCAGACATTAATTCGAAGCATTTGAGAATTCTCTTGATAGTGAGCACTTCCACCTAATCTGCCTCACAAAAGATTATTGTATCGTCAGCAAATTGTATATGAGATATGACCTCATCAATGGCCCCAACCTTTACCCCTCTAACCAGTCCCAGATCCTTAGCTCTATTGATCATAGCATTAAACCCTTCAACAACAATATTAAAAAGGAAAGGTGAAAGGGGATCACCTTGTCTAAGTCCCTTCTTCGGACAAAATTTTGGAGTTGGAGACCCATTAACAAGGACTGAAACTTGTGCTGTAGTAACACACTCCTGCATCCAACCAATCCATTTCCTACCAAAGCTAAAGTTTCCAAGCATTGAGAATAAGAAATCCCAGTTGACCGAATCATATGCTTTTTCAAAATCCAACTTAAGAATCACCCCTTTCTTATGCAAGCACTTCCACCAATCCACAATTTCATTCGCAATCAACACCCCATCAAAAATATTCCTCCCCTTCAAAAAATAAGATTGTGCCTCACTAACCACCATTGGTATTACCCGTTTGAATATGTGGACAAGAACTTTAGATAAGATCTTATATACTGCCCCAATGAGACTTATTGGTCGAAAATCGGTAAGGCCCCTTGGACAATCTTTTTTTGGAACTAAAGTAACAAAGGAACTAGTAAGACACTTAGCCAATCTGTCATAACAATGGAAGTCATTGAGAAATTGAACTATCTCCACCTTAAACACCTTCCAACACTTTTGAAAACATGACAGATTAAATCCATCTGGCCCAGGCGCCTTATTCCCATCGAACTCCTCATATTTCAGTTTCAGAGAAGGCAGCTTCCAACTCAACCTTATCATTACTCCCAATTGATTTAAAGACTCCTCCAAGCTTAGGCCTGACCTTCCAAGTTTCTAAGAATAAACATCTGAAGTGTCTATAAACTTCTTCCTTAATAATCACTGGATCCTCAATCACATTTCCATTAACAGTCAATGAATTTAACGAATTCTTATTTTGACGACCAGATGCGATGGAATGAAAGAACTTGGTATTTTTATCCCCGTTCAATGTCCATGACAATCGCGACTTTTGAAGCCACAACCATTCCTTTCTCTTACTCCACTTTAGCACTTCCTCTCTAAGCTCCCTTCTTCTTACTAACTCACCATCATCAAGGTCTCTGCTTTTAGCAATCGGATCCAGCTCATATAATTCATCCTCAGAGACTTTCAGCTTATGATTAACATCGCCAGACACTTCCATATTCCATTGCTTCAAAGATGCCTTGACTGCTTTTAATTTGGGAAAAATTTTATACCTAGCCCAACTTGATACCACTGTTTCCTCCCAGGCTTTCTTAACTATAGAGATGAACTGAGGATGCAAAACCCAAGCGTTAATGAACCTAAACGATCTTGGATCCCAATCTCTTGTATCCTCCATTAGAACCACTAGGCAATGACCAGAGACTCTTCTAGGAAACCCCCAAACTTTGAACTTAAACATTAACAACCACTTAGGGGACAAAAGGAACCTATCAATTTTGCTCCACTTTTCTCCCTCTGCAACATTACACCAAATATACTTCCTTCCAAGCATATCTAATTCAGTAACCTCCATCCGATATATGAAATCATTGAAATTCTTCATACCCCTCTCCCCTCTAGAACATCCTTTCCTTTCGCCAATATTCCTAATCTCGTTAAAATCCCCCCCTAGACACCAAGGAAAATGGAAATGGCTTTTAACCTTATGATGGACTCCCACACTAAACCCCTCCTAGAAACCTCATTTGGTGCATATACATTCATCAGCACATACAAAAAAGATGGAGCAATAGTACCTGACAACAAGATGAAATTCCGGTTGCAGCAGCATCTTGACAATTCAAAAGCTGATGGCTTCCATATGCACAACAGGCCAGCAGATGACCCATCTAAAGCCACCACCACGAAGTCCATCTCCACCCCTGGCCATAATGACCACAGTAATTCCTCCGAAATTTCTGCTCTCTTGGTCTCCTGAAGAAACACCATATCCACTTTCCTTTCATTGAGCACCTCCTTCATCTTTCGACGTTTCCCAGCCTTCTCAAGCCCTCCAATATTCCATGTGAGCAAAATCATTGTAAAAAATCTAACTCCCAAATCTCCAACTTCAGGTGTTTAGGGCCGATCCACCCCCACCCCCACCCCCTGAAGAACCCGATCTGCATCATTCATCTCTAATTCCACACATTTAATTAACAAATCCTCTTCACAACCCTCACACTACATACCCGGTGCTTTAACAATCTGTATTGTCGATTTCACATCCCTACGCATTAGACATCCGCGATTCTGAGATCAGCTAGATGATGACAGTGCCACCATTGCTACTCTACAAACCGCTCCTCTATTCCAGCTTCCCATAGGAATTGGTCCCTTTTTTTCTTGCCAAACCAGCACCTCTTGCCAACCTACGAATCCATCTTGAATCTGCCATAGACATTATCTTCCTTCCCCTTACTCTGCTCCTCTTTTTCTGACTGAGATCCTTCCCCTCAACAATCGTAGCACCCATAAGACTAGATGTTGGACCTAATCAAATCCCAACATGACTTTGGGCTTCAACATGTTTATTACCCATCACACTCCCTTCACCAAAATTGGAAATAATGGGCCTATTTGATAGCCCACTCACATGGGCCTTTTTAACATTCACCACAAGATGAACTCCTAGCCTATCCACCTCTGTGCCACTAAGACTTTTCAAAATGCTCGGGGTGATAATGTCATTGTCAATAGCCTGCTTCTTAGCATTAATATTGAAATATGGAAAGACTAACTCAGCTGCCGCCTTCATACTCGAGACATGCACTCCAGCTGCCTCATTATTCCTATTTCCCATGACATGGTTTGTCTCCTCCACAACTGTATCTACCTTATTACACGTATTGTTAACATTTGCCAATTGAATGTTAACCACCTTCTCATACTCTGCTGACTCAGCACCATACCTAATATGTCTTGCTTCCAGATTAGCACCATCTTTCATTCTGCTAATGTCCTTTGCTGGTTCAACTCCCATCGTGCCCCGACTTCCATCGTTATTCTCCACTTTGCTCCATACATTCGCTAGTTCACCCTCTTCATGGCCTATGCAATCAACAAAAGACTCCAAGCTAACACCCACATTTGAGCAACAACCGTCCAAACACCTCGAAGGACTCATGTTGTTGATAGTTGCTTTATCAACTGTTTGTTCTTCACACACCAAAATTGGATAACAACTACCTTTACATTCAAGATTAATGGTAGTGCTAATATACTCTATACACTTTTGAAGTTCCTCAAAAAGGTGCCTGAGTGAAAAGACAAGGATATGACAAAGTGTGTATGACAAGTAAGGTGACAAGGTCACTCTGACAAGGCAAGGATCTCAGATCAAGACATAGGCTTCGGCAAGTAAGGTCTCAATGATCTCGGCTAGGAAGGAAAACACTTGACCTAGCTATGCCACACCTCAGTCTAGATATGCCACACCTCGATCTAGGTCATACCAGTCTAGGAACAAGATCACTAGGTACAAGGATCAAAGATCTAGGACGTCTAGATGATAACACCTTGGCCCAGATGATACACATCTCGGCCTAGGTGATGCACACCTCGGCCTAGATGATGACATCTCGGCCAATGTGCCAGGGTGAAAGTGGAGGTCAACCAAAGTGGATTCCAAGATGGTCCTAGGTGTAAGAGGTTCAAGGGTGTGACCTAGGCTTAACGCACCAAGCAAAGAACAAAGCATACCAGTAATACACAGGTAAATCACACAAGCACAAAACAAGACATGGACCTTTACTTAGGCAAAACAATTCAAAATCTACAAATGCAAGCTCATCAAGACAAAATCATGCAGATGTACATGAACGTGACAAAGACGAGAATGAGGGTCATTACACCCAAAATCTTCAACTTCAGGTGTTTAGGGCCGATCCACCCCCACCCCCACCCCCTGAAGAACCCGATCTGCATCATTCATCTCTAATTCCACACATTTAACTAATAAATCCTCTTCACAGCCCTCACACTACATACCCGGTGCTTTAACAATCTGTATTGTCGATTTCACATCCCTACGCATTAGACATCCGCGATTCTGAGATCAGCTGGATGATGACAGTGCCACTATTGCTGCTCTACAAACCGCTCCTCTATTCCAGCTTCCCATAGGAATTGGTCCCTTTTTTTCTTGCCAAACCAGCACCTCTTGCCAACCTACGAATCCATCTTGAATCTGCCAGAAACATTATCTTCCTTCCCCTTACTCTGCTCCTCTTTTTCTAACTGAGATCCTTCCCCCCAACAATCGTAGCACCCATAAGACTAGATGCTGGACCTAATCGAATCCCAGCATGACTTTGGGCTTCAACATGTTTATGACCCATCACACTCCCTTCACCAAAATTGGAAATAATGGGCCTATTTGATGGCCCACTCACATGGGCCTTTTCAACATTCACCACAAGATGAACTCCTAGCCTATCCACCTCTATGCCACTAAGACTTTTCAAAATGCTCGGGGTGATAATGTCATTGTCAATAGCCTACTTCTTAGCATTAATATTGAAATATGGAAAGACTAACTCAGCCGCCCCCTTTATACTCGAGACCTGCACTCCAACTGCCTCATTATTCCTATTTCCCATGACATGGTTTGTCTCCTCCACAACTGTATCTACCTTATTACACGTATTGTTAACATTTGCCAATTAAATGTTAACCACCTTCTCATACTCTGCTAACTCAGCACCATACCTGATATGTCTTGCTTCCAGATTAGCACCATCTTTCATTCTGCTAATGTCCTTTGCTGGTTCAACTTCCATCGTGCCTCAACTTCCATCGTTATCCTCCACTTTGCTCCATACATTCGCTAGTTCACCCTCTTCATGGCCTATGCAATCAGCAAAAGACTCCAAGCTAACACCCACATTTGAGCAACAACCATCCAAACACCTTGAAGGACTCATGTTGCTGATAGTTACTTTATCAACTGTTTGTTCTTCAAACACCAAAATTGGATAACAACTACCTTTACATTCAAGATTAATGGTAGTGCTAATATACTCTATACACTTTGTAGCAACACAAACTTTCCCATAACAAAATGAAGAAGGTTGACAAATATCATCCTCCAACCCGATAACATTCCCCCATATGTTCCCGATTTGATTAAAAGTGGATATGTTCCACACGTTAAGAGGAACACCAAAGCACCAAAGCCAGACACACCTTTCTTGCTGAAAATGCAGACCTGGTTTCCATACAACAATTGACTCGCACCATTCATCAAACCATTCCTTCATGATCTCTTGAGACTTGAATGTTAGCACAACATCCCTTCCTCCACTACACCTTACCATTATCTGACCTAAACCTTTATCATTCAACACCATTTGAATGTTGTGGATTGAAACCTCAATCTTCAACCTCATAATCACACTTTTAAGTAACCACCCAGGTCCATCTTCATTCACAGGGATGGTCAAAACTTGTCTTCTCCACAGCCGTGTTTGTATTACCTTTTAGTGCCTCCACAAACGATCATTTCCCAACCTCTTTCCCCACCCATGTCCATCTTCATTCACAGGGATGGTCATACTGGTCTACAAAAGATCGCTTCCTAACCTCCTTCCCTCGGCCATTAATCCTCTGCATAGCACGCTATGGTCTCCTCGACAACTCCTCCTTTTTGCTTCTATCATAAGCAGCAATCTTCACTTGTAAACTCCTACTATCAACTCATAATCCGTTGGCTTTCTGGATTGCAATATTCGCTGCAACTTGACAATTGAATCTAACAAATCCAAACTGTGACTTTGTTACCTTCCTTCTTTTGAAAGGAATGAACGCGTCCTTAACAACTCTAAACTTCATAAACAGTTTAAACAAGGCTTTTGCATCCATTAAAGATGGTAGATTATCCACGAAGACATTGAATAACCTATTACTAATCCTCTCGTTACTATGTGCTCCACCACTTTTCCTCTGATGAATCACTGGAATCCAATTGCCCTGTCTTGCATCCTGTCGCTCTCCCATTATCCCTTGATGCTAACTAAAAAGTCAAAAAGCTATTACCTTATGCCATTATTACTGACCCCACATATTGTACAAATTACAAATACCCAAAACCTTTAAAATTATGCCATATCATCTATTAGTATACTAGTTAGTATATTAATTAGTACATACAGCATTATTCATAATTTACTAAGTTGTTTGAATTTTGTTATGTGTATGTATGCAGAAACCACTTGGTAATTAAAAGGTCAAGAAATAAAACACCTAATTAGTATTGTAATATTATTATTATTAAAGGTGAAGAAATAAAATATCTAACTAATATTGTAAGAATATTATTATTATTCTGAAATAAAATAAGTAAAGAAAATTGAAAGCTAAAATATTTTTACAAAATTCATTCATTCTCTAGTTTGATCCTCATTGCGGTTAAATTTTGAGAATTTGTTAAATTGCTATTTTCCATTCCATATTGATTTTCGTCAGTTTCTACTTCTTCTATTATAATCTTCCCAGATGTGTAATTCTTGTCATTCATCTTGTCCATCCTTGTGAAAAATATGTATGTATGTCTAGAAGCAAATTTTAGCGTCTTGTAAAATTTGGTATTCTTATATTCAAACAAAAACAATAACAATAGTAGAGTTCTAAATTAGTTTTTTTCCTTTGTTATGTATGTATGTTACTAATATGACACTACTTATGCATTTGGTAAACTTGCATTTTCTTTGGATGCTACGAATTCAGTTGATGGACATCCAATAATTTTCTCAGCCACTTCAAATAATGTGACATATAATTGTCTTTCTCCATCTCCCACTATACGTTTCATCAAATATCTGATATTTTGATGTAGCAAATGTATGTAAATTACAAAGTTATAATTTTGATATTTAACCAATGCTAAGCACTAATATGTGTTGTTATGTAGAACTATCACATACCTTGGATGATACTTTGAATGTGAGTTCTTGTATTTACTGCATTTGGCTTGTTGTTTAGTTTGGTAAACTTTCTTATTACATACCTTGCAAACAATATACCAAGGTTGGTTCAGATTA